TAATATATAAGAATTATATATATATAATATATAAGAATTATATATATGATAAAGAATTATGTATATGATAAAGATGAGAATTACTTAAGCCATTATGCTTTCTTTTTGCCTTGCCTGTGAGGCAGCTCAAATAATTGTTGCACACAAGCATGATAATTGCTTAGCTCTCCTGTTTAGCTTACTAAGAATTTATACTCTCCCCCTTTATATTTATGTAGCTTGGTAGTTAGATCCCAGCTCTTGAGCCTTACTTTTTTCACCTTTAATATAAGGATGACAGTATCTACCATTTGGATTATTGTGAAAATCAAATAAAATATTTTTTAATTGCTTAGTCATGTGTCTAACACTGTAGAATGCTAAGTAAATGCTAGAGGACTTTTTTTTCCCATAATTTTTACATTTTCTGTTTCTAATTTTACAACCTTATTTCATACTCATCTTTACTTTGAAAGCAACTCAGTTTTATTTAGAAATGAGTAAAGTATAAACACTAAAAAAAAAAAAATCACATTAAGACCATTGCCATAGTGGATATGAAGGAATGAAATGAGGCAACTGTGAATAGAGTTGATAAAAGAAGTACCCCTTGTAAACAGTGTCTCCAAGATTTGGTTTACAAGGAAATAGCAGCAGACAAACCACGCCTTCACCCAGCAACCTGACACAGGCAGTCTTTCTGAGCAAAATGCTGTCTTGAACTTGAATCTGAGTCACAATTTCCAAGTAGCTGCAGCTATTGTCTTGGTTGTGCTGCATGTTGTGCTGTAAGTGGAAAAGAGAGACCTCTTCTATGGAGATTTTATAGGCACAGAATTTGGGAGTGATTGAACTTCCAGCTCTCATCTGGAAAAGAACATACTAGATATTTGGTTTAGCTGTCTTCCACTTGCCAGGGTTAAATATTGGATACTCTGGATTTTATTTCCATATAGAAGTAATCCCATGTAAAGGGAGTCATGGCATTTCTGACATCAGACTCAAGGATAATGTCCATCCATTTAGTCCTCTTATTCCTCGTGTTGCGAGATTGGTGACTGGCTCTGTGGTCTCTTCAGCCCCACTAGCACATGGCTAGGATCCTGGGAAAAGTGACTATATAATTTATCATCCAAACCACACTTTTCAGAATGGAAAGGGACAGTATTAATAATTAGGCCAGTACAACATAAGTAAACCAAGATGGTCCTGGGTAAAAATGGCATTTGGTCATTTTAGCTAATAACCCCTTTCTATCTTGTCTTAAAAAAACAAAAAGGTTTTCTATTTTTTATGTTAGCCCTCCTGATATTTCTATACTTACTGTAATAGCGCAGAAATTCAGAAAGCTATCAGCCCTGTTTTGATTTTTTTGAACCATGTGTTTTGTTTTCTAATTTGGAGTGATATTTTCTTTTTGTATTCAAAATCACTGTCTATTATTGAATCCTATTTAATCACCTAAAAGGCTATCTTATAAATTATTAAGAAAGACATAATGAATCTTTCTTTGGACTCTACCAGTTAGGTAATAACCAAGGGACAAATTGAAGGACAGAGGTGAAATGGAAGTTCTTGATGTCCATGCCTGGTAATTGCATACTGAATCCTGGATCATTAATAGTATTAGAATATTGCTTTCATTTTCTATTTGCAGTTATATTTAGGCTGTTGAAATTAATGTTGATGACTCACAACATTCAAAACCAGTGTAAATGAAAGTTAAATTTTTATGTCTTATATGCCCTCCTCACTCTTGTCTTAACAGAAAAAAGCTTGGCAGGACCACAAGCGAGAATGCAAATGCCTTAAAAGCTGCAAACCCAGATATCCTCCCGACTCTGTCCGACTTCTTGGCAGAGTTGTTTTCAAACTTGTGAGTATAAAACTTGTGAAATATGCTTGGGTTTTAATTTAGCATAAGCGCTTGCAATTGCATGTATTATTCATATTTAAGACTGAATTTAAATCCATGTTAAGGTAGAAGGTGGATTATTCCAGGGAGTGTCTTAAGACAAGACTTGTTTTCCTATTAATCACAGCAGTGATAAAGTGCACCGTCCCTCTTTGAAGACCCTGTGTGTGATCTCCTGTGAATAGAAACCTAAAGTCCTATGTTTGGGACATGAGATGTTAGTGATGCCTGTTACATTGCCTTTATTACTTTTCTACTGAGAACTAATGCACAGGGCAAGTATATAATTCTTTTGGTTGCCTCTTCAAGTGAGATTTTAATTAGATGATAATTAATCTTACAAGGAAGGGTACTTATCTTTTTTTCTTTTCGTTTTTTTTTTAAGCCAACATTCACTGAAATTGTTTCTCCAGTCCCTTTCCCTACTCTGCCAAAGCAGCTAGTGGATTCCCTGAAATCCCCCTCTGGCGACACCTTCCAGTTTTTTTTTTTTTTTTTTGCCAGGCTTTAGAATGAATATCTCTTTATTGCAGGCTTCAGCTCTCTTGTGTCCTGTTGTCTGTTAACTTCTTTTGGCAATAAAATTTCACAGAGGAATTTAGGGATGTAAAAGTATATACCTAAAACTGGTGCAATGTTATATATCAACTACATCTTTACTAAAAGAAAAATGGATTTAGAATGCCAAATTGGCATTGTCTTTGGACTGAATATACAACATCTGTCACATATACTTACTACTATTTTTAAATGTACATATTGTGTTGAACTAAAATACACAAATTTATTTCAGAGCTTTAATAAATTCAGAGCAACTTTGTCATTATGCGTTTCTTTAATCACTGGATATTAAAAGTATAATAATATTATATTTGAGTCTGAACTTTTTTTTTGCTTTATTAGTATTGAATAGATAGAGAACCACTGTTAGAGCAGAAATGGGTTGCTTCAGAATCACCCAGGGCTCTAGTTCTCAGTCTTCACCCCGACCTATGGAATCAGAATCTAATAGAAACTAACTGTAATGATAGCTACTTTCTGTTGAGCACTTAACTATTCCTAGGCCCTGTGCTAATTGCTTTACAAGATATACCTTATTTCATCCCACAACAACTCAGTGCTATTATTACTCCTGTGTTTCGCATAAGGAAATTGACACCTCAAGTTTAAGTAACGTGCCCAAGGTTGCACAGTTTGTAATAAACTCTTATTTTTATTCATCCATCTTTGCTTTTCTATAATAATTAGTAGTAAATTCCTTACAGTGATACAAGTCTGTGGTAGAATTGGGGAAAAAAATGGAAACTTCTTGTAAAAGAATTTTGTGTTTGGAAATTAAATTGGTGGGTCAAGTTGCAACACAGATTTTAAAGTTGTGACTGATTGAATAATTTAACTCTAAGAATGATGAGAAGGATAATATAGAAAATTATCTTTTTAACGGACTTCCATTTGAATATTTAAAGATATGCAAACATATTCATTTATGTATTGGAGCACTTGAAATCGTTTTTGGTGTTTTCCCCCTTTCTTCATAGATGGAAGAAACACCCTCTGAATCGGAGAAACTTTACTCATTTTATGATCTGGAGTCAAGTAAGTGATTCTCTATCAGCATCTTAAGTTCTATCATTTATTTGCTGAGCTGATGAGTTGCCTTTTTTTTTTTTTAAACTTTGTTTTTCTGTCTCTTTATTATGTGAGGCAGCAAACCTTTTCATGCTTTTATATAGACACATTAGCTTATTTAATTTATTCTAGGGTAGCTTTGGCCCTATAGGAGTTTGTGAGGTGCCATAGAGGTGTCCAAGTTAGGCAGTGAGGGGAGTATAACCCTCTGTCCAGCTAGCAGAATACATTTTACTTCTGTTTTTCCTCCTCTTTCCCTTTTTCCTACTCTTGGTTTCTTTTTGATGTTAGGGAACAGTAATGTGAATGGGGGCTCCAGGGAACGTTTAGATAATAAGGAAAGTAGAAAGTACTGATGACTTAGGCTCTCTGACAGCACTGAGCGTTGTTCTTTTCCTGAACTACCATGGTGGTGGCCAACCTCCTTAATACTGAGAGGCTTTGCAAATCTGAGTGTGAAGTGAACGTAGGGTTTACGTTTCTTTCTATTGGCACAGATCACAGATCCTCTTCGTTGAAGTTGTAAATGACTTTTAAGTCAAAAGTAGCAAGAGCTCATGGAGTAAATGTGCTACACAGTTTAATATTTCTAGATGGAGACAAATAAAATCATCTAGTACGGATTTATGGTTATGGAATCCTAAGTGCCAATGATAATAAATTATTATTTAAGGAATCATTGGGTTAATTTATTCTGTTGAA